TCAAAGAGCCTGATGAACACCGAGGCCAAGTATGACCAACCTCAAGATTATGGTTCCATAACAGAAAGATCGAGATTCCCGCAGTGGCGCTAAGATCACGGCGTAAATTCCGGAACGGATTTGTACTATGCGGTTAGACAGCTGTATAATAAGATTCCTTAATACAATTGGAAATGTACCTTGTTTAGGATTCCCCTACTATATAAAGGGGACCCCAATCATTTGTAACGCATGAATTATTGAGAAGAGAATATACATATTTCACTTTCTTGCTTACTGCTCATCAGAATTGTCTTTTAGCTTTATTGTTCTTACTAACCTACCTCGAGGTCACCTTAGCTAGAGGTCGGGACTGGCTTGTTCACTGGTTTGATTCAACTAATTTATTTAACTTATACATTTGATTCCTTGATTATCGGTGTCACACCTCCTTTTTACCACCCGAGAGGGGATATAAAGGAGTTTTTTTCCAATTGAAGTGACATTATTCGAAATGGGATTATTTTATTTATTTAGAGTCGCCACTTGGGATAATTTATTATGGTGTCCCAAGTCACCGGTTTATTTTAAATCCCAAATCGAGGAAAATCGACTTTATTTAAAAGTTTGCGAAACCAGAAATTCTAAGTAAGGAATTCTGTTAACCCGGGAGAAGGTATTAGGCATTCCTGGGTTCCGTGGTTTTAGGAGGGTCGCTTAAAATATTAAAATTAGCCTAATTATCTGATTTACTACATGTTTTAAACCTATTATGTATTTTTAACCTTTGACCGCTTTTAATTATTTGTGGAACAAGCTACAGTTGTCGTACACTTGTTTGTTTGATACACATCGCGAATCGTGTCACGGGAACCGTACACACGATCTACAACATGTTTTATTAACATTATTAGATGTTGTGGCCGGGTCACATGAATGTACCCCCGGATTTGGAAATTAGGTATCAAAACTACGTCAGGCGAACCGTACCCGTAGCCATAATGATTTTATTATAAACGCGCCTACAGCAAACTACGAATGTTGAAAGTGTTTTCTACACTAGTTATAACATTAATGTGAGGGCCACAGATTTGGTGATTCAATTGTGAATGGCACGCCTCGATTTATTTTAAAGGATTTATACTCAATTAAAACAACCTATGGATGTTCATATTTAAAACTATCTTGAAATTCAATATATAACTCTTAATTATAAACGTGTTTGGGGGGTATATGTATTGGATCTTTAATCATTTTTTTTTTGGATAAGGTAATTGGGCCAGCAATAGCCTGTTGGTTATTTGGTTAGGGATCAATCAGCGTTTGAAGCTGCATTGGGCTTGGACTTTGGCCCAGGAATGAAGAACTCAAGGGCCATGGCCAAATCCGATTTTTCAAACCAAGTCTGGCCCATATTGGGCTTACATTAGGCGGGCCCAGTTGCGACTATTTACTGGCTGGGCCTATCTACCTTAACGTTTAAGCCAAACTTGCATAATACATGTTTGCAAAAGTTGTAAATCAATTCACTTTTAAGAAGGAAAATCAGAACCTAAAAATCACAATACAATTCAAGTTTGAAGATTAATTACACTACTATGATTTGCAAAATATAAAAGACATGTATTTCTACTGGAATTCACAAAGGAAATTTTATAACTGAGCCAAGCTATTTGGGTTTAATGCCCAGGCCCGATGGCCTAGGCCCACACTTGTCAAGATTTATTTTTCCCCATCAGAGCTCATATGTAAGTCTGGCCCAGCTTGAATCACAGAAACATGCCTTTTAGCCTTGAAGATTTGGCCCATAGCATTGGCCATTATACCACTATGCTTACGAAATACAATGATAGAATAATTACACTCCTAATCAGCAGTTGTTTTAAATCTCAGTACATGAAATCAGGACCTGATTTATTACAGTACCCCAGATAAATAAAAAGATTTTTGAAAATCAGAATATTACATTATGACCTATTAATACATAAACTACAACTAATCTATTACAACTTCCATGTAGTTAGTAACCTAATGAACACCTGCCTCTTTTGGACACGATTTATCCATCAAAGCTTGGTCCATCACATAAAAACACCAGATTCAGCATGCTACCAACAATATAATTCTAACTCTTAGCTTTTGAACCTGCTGATTTGGCCAACTAGTGGCCAAATCTACAGGTTACAGCTCATGGTTAACAAACAGACCCCAAATGACCTCAAGTAAACACCAGGTTGTTCATTAACAGAAGAGAAGGGGAAGAAATGACTTTAACAGCTAATACTCAGAATCAGAAGGACATTTAATTAAAGAAACATCTCTAAACAAAGTTACTTTCAAGAGGAAACTACAAATATCAATGTGTTAATACATCTACTCCTACCAAATGATTTCAAGCTCAAACTTGTATAACAAAAGATTGATCAGATCCCTATCCATGTAATCAGCAACTAACATGAAAATACTCATTTATCACATATAACTTGCAACTTTTGGTCTTATATTATCTAAAAAAAACAGCAGTACATGAAGAAGGTTAAGGTCAGTACCTTGAAAAACAGCAAAAAAAAAAATAGCAATAAAAACAAATGAAATGTTGGCTGAATCTTAGAGATGGAGCAGCAACAAAAATCCCAAACAGCACCCTGAATCAAACCAGAAGGAAAAACCAAGAACCAACAACCCAAACTCTTAAAAACCAGAGTCTTCAGCAGAAAACCAGCCCAGAAATTCTAATTAGGCCACTAATGTTCTAGCCCGGAAAAGTTTTTAAGGAGTTTTTATTTTCAGAACCTTTCAAAAATGCAGAAAATGCTGATGAAAATCTGTGTATTCTTAGGGTTATGAAAATCTGATGTGTGTCTGTGAATGGCTTTCTTTTTATAGTGCATATCCAAAAATAGCATCTAAGGAATATTCTACCCTAAATTCCTTAGATAGTACAACATATTTACAGAGGATGAAATGTTCAGCTGTCCATTTTCAGCATCTTTTAAAACCAATTTGGACAGCTGGTACACTTCTTGAACTTTCTTCTTTTAGATATTTATTTTTTAAAGTTCTGAAATTCCCCTAAGTTTCCTTTTAGTTTAATTAGGTCCCTATAAGTTTCTAGTGATTTACAAATCAAGGCAAACAGAGGCAAAAACAAAAAGGGATCCAAAATCCAAATTAAAATGACAAACAGAAGCATGATGATGCAATTTAAACCTAAAACTAAACTAATCAGTAAATGAAAAATGCTTATCTAATTAAACCTAAATAAAAACTGAATTTAAACAACACTGATGGCAGAACACAGTAACAAACTAAGAAACAAACATGGTAATGCAATGAAACCTAATAATTAACCTAATTAACCTGCACCGTGATTGAATTAACTAAACTATACAACTAAAAATGATTTTCTAACAATTAGACATGCTGTGAACTAAATAACTTGTACATAAATGAACTAGACTACTTATGATTATTCACATGGAGAAATCAAAGAAACAAAATAAAGAAAACAAGGAACAGGGTTAAGGAAAGTACCAAAAGGGTCTAGCAGTCCAACAATCCCTCGATGTGGCTAAAAAATATGCTAACCAACCGTTCTTGTTGAGAACCATTGACTAGCATGGTCTTTCAACTACATCGAGCAAATCAAAGAAAGCTCGAAAAGGACAGACAAAAAATGGAATTAGGTTTTTTCTAGTTCTTCATAGATTTGAAATTCGAGGGCTTTGGCAAGGATTTTTGGGGAATCAAGGGTAGGTTAGTGGTGAGGGAAGGTTGAGGGTCCTATGGTGTGAGTTTGGGGCCGTTTGGGCGATTTAGGATTTTTAGGTTCTGCTTTCAAATCTGAAATTGGCGTATTTTGGTGGTGATTTTGGGGAAATGGATGGTGGGATACTGTTTGGGAGGGCATCAGGGTCATGGGTGTGAATTTGGAACGATTTGGTGAAGCTCCGCCGCTGTAAAGTGATTTCCGGGCGACGGAGATAGGCGGAGCCAGCGTAGGATATCAGGGCGGCTAGGGTTTGGTTTAGAGAGTGTTAGAGACAGAAGTGAAAGGGTTGAATGGGGGGGTTAGGTCTTGTTCGGACAGTGTTATACAAAATGATCCCAGCCGTTAGATTTACGATGATCAATGGCTGGAATAAAAAGGGGGTAATACGGGGTCGTTTTTGGAGGGTGGGGATTGGACCGGGTAGGCTAGTTATTTTGGGCTTGGGTTTGGACAAATTTGGGTATAAAATTCAGCCCAATTTCAAATTAAACCCTTTTCCTTTTCCAACTTCTTTTCTTATTTCTTTTTTTTTTCTTTTTCTTTTCTTTAATAAAAACCCTAAAATTAAATCATAAATTAATCTAATTTGCACAAATTAAGCTAATTATCTAACTATAACACTTACAAAAATTAATTGATCCTAAATTAAAAGAGAGAATTGCTAATCTATATTTAAAAGCTAAAAATGTAAAAATGAGTAATATTTTATGATTTTTTATTTTGATAAAGCAATTAATTAACTAATTAATTCTAAAATATGAACACAAAGTCTACTATGCAATGCATGATGTTTTTTTTGACATTTTTTGGGTATTTTCATGATTTGATTTTTTTTATAAAAATTAAACGTGCACAAAAATGCAAACAATTAATAAAATTCTACAAAAATCTTATAAAATTGCAAATAATTGGGAAAAATCTATTTTCTTTAGATTTTATAGGAGTATTTTGAATAGGACAAAAATCACATGCTCACAATCAGTTGGTATTGAACTAAATCACATATCTTTAAGACCTCAATACAAATTTTAATTGTTACTCGGAATCGGATAAACATATTTATTAGTGTATTTGCAGAAAACATGAATTTCAAAGTGGGGTTTAAAAGGGAAATAAAATAGTAACAGCAAAAACTTCTGCCTTACAATGTTTGCTATTGATTTCGAGCCTTCGTTGCGTTTAAGGACATGAATTAATGTGGGGGTTGACTATAATATGGTCAATCCTCGATCCAACAGAAAGAAAAAGAAAACGAAAACAAAGAGTTGTAATATATATAAATATGGAGACCGTAATGAAAATTGGGAAACACAAATATCATCAACTTTAGCACACAACTACAATAATTGGAAACAGAGAGTAATTAAAAGAGAAACAATATAAGCATGATTAGTGTCAAAGCAGATGCATTAGATGATGAGGATACAGTTAATTAGTAGTAACTGTATCTTCGCGTTGGCCTGACCAAGTCCAGACAAGCCTCCCTTCCTCGTGCCGCAATCTGAGCACTCATTTGAGCTGCAAGAATCTGTTCATGAGCTTCATTAGCTGCATTTATCATCTCCATTGTTGAATTGCGGTTTGGATTTTGATTAGGACGCGGCTGTTGTGTTGTGAAAACACCAACTTCAGGACTAATTGCACACTGCAAGTGCGATCCAAAATCACAACCAGTGCAATAGTACAACCAACTGTTCCTGTTCATTATTACATTGCAAATATCACAAATATAATCCATATTCTTATCTTGGTAAGGAGAACCAAAGATGAGCTCCATATGATGTGGGTGTTTGTCAACAAGTACTGAGCTTGGACAAGATGCACATTGCAAGTGAATATCAAATTCACAACAAGCACAGCTAAAGCAAGATCCATTTCCAGCAGAGCCACAAGCCTTGCAAGTATACGAACGACTCGAGTAAGTTGGAATTGGGACAAGGGTTAAAGGGTGAGAAGGATGAGATGAATGATTGAGAAAACGAGGAGCGTTGAAGCAGTTTTCGTGAAGGAAATACTGGCAGCTGCTGCAGCCATAGTAAGGCTTATTACTATTATTTGGTTTCTCACAAGCATTGCAAGTGAGAGTTCCTGCAGCTAGTGCTGAATTCACAAGTTTCAAGTTGTGAGGGTGGCTGAAGTGTTGTTTACCTTGAGAAGTCGAATCTCTACTCTGATTCTGTCTTCCCATTGATTTTCCTTGTAATTTTGTTGGATAAGGATCAATATATTGAAGAGCTAGCAAGTCCAGTGATTACACAAATTCGTATTTGTATTTATAGCTATTTTTTACTACTATGATAATATCAACTTGGCCATGTTTTTTTTCCTTCGACGACTTTGCTTTCATATTTTTTTTTCCTTTACTAAGTCGTCTCTCTTGCAACAATATAATTTCTCCAATTGCTATTCATTATTATGTCTAAACATCTGTAGCATATTGACTGACTCAGCTATTATCCAATGGCTTCTAAAATGGACAGCATCTTTGTTTTGATTAGACTAAACAATATTGCCTTCTTGTTAATTTGTTATTCATGAAGTCAATGCTTGAAGAAGCATGATTTGTGAAGGATGTATTCACCAGAGCTTGATGGTAGTGCTGACTAATTAAATCATTTAGACTCGTTCTAATTTGCATTCATCTAATTTGATTGTTGCAACGTCTCAAAACTAACTTGCCAGATGATCCAAGATTCATATGTCTGTTTGTTTCTCATCCCTTGCTTCTCAAGTTGGATGTCATTTCCCTATCAGATTTCACTTATATATTTTGTTCTTCAATTGAGTCAGTTAACTGTAACTATAAGCTATAGATCTCGAACTCATATAAACATGTTTCCTCTAGCACCTCTTTTCAACTTTTTGCTAGAGACCTTTGATTGAAGGTTCTCAATTCTTTATCTAGATCATATACTGTACATTAGAGAATAATGAAATAAGGATTGAAAATTCCATATATTATTGTGTTTACCCTAGAAATCGAGTAACAATTAAACTTGTAATGTGGTTTTAAGGATACGTGATTTCACTTAATACCAATTGATTAATTTAAAGAAAAGTGATGAAATTGACAGGAATATAAAACAAACTGATGTTTGGATAGTATCCTCGAGCTGATGAACTCTCGAGAGTAGTAAAACAAAGACAATTAAAGAATAACAATTGAAGAACAATAATTAAAGAGTAGTAAGCAGATGAGCAGAAGAAAGAAATATTCTATTGCCTTGATCTATATGAATGTTCGCCTTTACAAATGATGGGGGCCCCTCTTTATATACTAGAGGAATCCTAATTGAGGTACAATTCTAATTACGGAAGTAAATCCCATGATTGATACAAATAACTGCCCTTGATTTGATCCGTTCCGAGATTTTCGCCGTGATCTCCGACCGGTTACGGATATTTCGCCTTTCCGTTATTGTGTTCCACTCGAAGCTGGTCATATCCGGTTTCGATCATCTGGGACCTCGATCTCGACGGGTGCCTCGATCCCTAAACTCGGCACCTTGTTTCGGTATTTAGGTCTGATCCATTACGAGGCTGACCCTCGATGCGGTTCTCTGATCTCGAAATAATGACAAAATTGGGAAAGTTTGATTTTACCCGTATACAGATAGTCCCCTCGTTTCTTAGAGTGTAAAGAAATGAAACGAACTGAGTCTTCAATTTCGTAAATCGACCAATTTTGACGCCATCCTCGTGACGTAAGCGACGGAGGCGACCGAAGTGTCGCGTCTGCACAGTTCTCAAAATTATTAATTAGCGTCAGTTGATGGTCGGCCACTGATGCCCTTGAACCGTCATTGCAATATTACAAATAGATCCTCTTCATAATCTTCCCAAACTTTATTTTCAAAAACCTTCAAAGCTTTCCTTCTTTCTTCAAGTTTCTCAATTCTGCAAATTCTTCGGAATCCGTTTGCCAATCCTTTCCTAAAACAACAAGCTTCATCTTCTTCTTTCTTTGAACTCATATAAAAATGGCGAAAACATCTAAAACTGTTCCCCAAAAGGAACAAGCCTCTTCATCGCGGTCGACCGGTGATAAAACGCCAGTGGAGTCACGCATCGGGAGTGCGTTCCTGGGTCGTGCGACCTTACTTCCATTTTAAAGTTGAGATAATCTCGTCGGTCCCTTGGTGATGCGAGCCAATGTCGAGATACATATGCTCGATAACTGGGAGCGATCTCAAACAAGTGAAGAAAGAATGCAACTGGGAGGGCAAAGAGGTGGTGATTCCTACCCCGAGGAGGATATCACTACTTGCGTGGAAGGGTTTTTAAGTGTTTACACTTACCCTTTCACGCTGGGTCACGTCGATCCTGTGGTCATCGACTTCTGCTGCCAATACCAAATAACCCTAGGCCAAATCCACCCCTCTTTTTGGCGCATAGTGATTTTGTTTCGATTTTTTGTGAATAAGGTCGAGGGGATGCCTTTCACCCTCGACCATCTCATTAGATTGTACAGCCCCCATCTCTATCGAGGAGAATTAATAAGGCTTCAACGCCGGGCCACAAAGGTGTTTTTCTCGAGTATCGACGAGCCCAAGGATCGAGGATGGATGAGTCAGTTTATCCGAGTGAGAACCTCTGACATAATCCTGGCCGAGAAGATGCCATTCCCCGACGAATGGAACATGAAGCGTACGTAGAACTTACTCATAGTTTTTATTTGTTGTTTTGTTTCTTTTTCTTTTCTTCATCCACATCTCTTCTTACCCATATCTCTTGTTATGATGTAGCGGTTCCCTGGGTGCCGGTGCAATCCCAGACCTCGAAGGCTGGGTTCGGAAGTTGGCCTCGACCTCTTCGTATTCTGAGTGTTGTTGGCGTAATTTGGCAAGGGGCCGATGGGAAGCCAAGAATCACGGTAAGCTTATCTTCTACGCTATTGGTGCCCTTCTCAGAAATATCTCTTTTCACTTGTACTTAATTTCCTTTTATGCAGATCTTGGGTATGTTGCCGAAATGAGGCCGACCCCGCCTGGGGAGGAGGTAGTCCGGAAACCGCCTAAGGAAAAGAAGAGGAGAAGGGTCTCGCCTTCAGATACTCCGAAGCCTAAGAAGAGAAAGGCTCGTAAGTCAAAGAACGAGTCTGCCGCTCTGTCTGCTGACGTAGCCCAAAAGCTACGAGATGAAGAAGAGGAGAATGAAGATGGCAACTTCAGGCTGGTGGCTCGAAAGAAGAGCGCTGAGGTCCCAAAGGCCTCTGAGCCGGTTATGATCGAAGAAATTCAGCCTCGGGCTGAGGAGGGCTTGGAAGATCCCCCGAGCGGAGTCCCCAAGTCAGCGGGGGCCGAAGTTGCCTCCAACCGAGATGTTCAATCGGTGGATGTATCCGAATGGGCCAGTTCGGAGGCCCTTCGATATGAAGGGAATGCCCCAAGTGACTTGCTTGGGGCAATAGACAGAGGTGATTCGCCACTCCAGCCCTCATTCTCCGAGGGGCAAAATGAGGAAGCTCGAGCCATGAGGATCCTCGATGCGGGAATGGCCTACAGAGGGGAGGACCTTTTCTGTGGCTGCTTCACGGGGGTCGAAGATGTTCCCGATCTGGATGACGAGGCTCATCGACTCCCGAGTCAAGTAAATCTTAGCTCCTTTTATCAATATCATTTTTGTCTTTTTGTTTTTCTCTTGTCTGACTTTCCCTTCTTTCTTCATAGGCCTTGACGCTTCACCGGTAAGCGTTTTCTAAATCCCGAGCTGAGTTGGACCGGTGTGAGGCCGATCTCAAGAGGCTCACGGAGGAGAGATTCCTTCAAACTCCTTTATGTGCAAAAAGAAGAGGAGATCAGGGACCTCCGAGCTGAATTGGCAACAATTCATAAAAAGTAGACCGATCTCATCGAACAGGTAAAGTAAATTTTCAGGAGCTTAATAAATCAATTTGATATTGGTGACTAACACTTGGATCCTGCAGGTTCATTAGAAGGACGAGAAAATCGAGCAGCTTTGCGAGGAGGCAGAGATAAAAGAGGCAGAGACTTTGGGGTAGAAGTAGAACATGGACTGCCTCACCTCGGAGAAAGATACGGCCCGAACCCAATAGTCTACGGTTGAAGGTCAACTCCAAAGCGTGAAGGAGGAGAGCCTGGCTCGAGCCAAGAAAATTGAAGAGCTTGAGGCTCGGTTGGCCGCTGAGCTTGCAAAGTGATGTTCTAAACGTCAATGCCACACAAGAGGGAGGGAGGGTGATTTGTGTGGTACCCAATTTTCGCTCTAGAAGAACCCGGTTCTTCTAGGTATACTAACTACTACTATTTGCGGAATGATAAGTACATAAAATAAAGAACACAGAAATTTTTACGTGGAAAACACCTGGCTCAATAGGTGAAAAAACCATGACCTACTACTCAGTAGGATTTTCCCAAACTTCCACTAAAATCACTGAGCCAAAACAGCATTTACAAAACTCTTTGTAAACCTAGGGATTAACTCTAATCTCGTTGTAGCAACCAGCCTCTAACTGCTGCGACAACTTCAAGTTAACTCTATCTTGAGTACTCAGATTACCTATTACAATTTCTTCTAGATAAAGCTGAAAGGTACAATTTTAAACCACCTACTACAATTGAACTAGAATAAAAGAAAGACACAATGAAACTGATTCTTCTATCTCGTTCAAGTAGCTTCAGGAGTGCACACTCAAATCTCACATAAATTGCTTGCAAAATCGCCTTGCTCTTTTGCTCTCAATTTAGTTTAACTTCTGCGTATGTGCAATACCTGTAAAAGAGAACAATCACTATCTTTTAATAGGTTAGTAATCAGAGTTTGATTGGGACTCAATTGCTGATCTTCTATCGTAGTTGAGTCCTTGAAGATCTCAAACTCCAACACTATCTTTATCCGGATTGTGTTCTCTTCATATAAGGAGACTTTCTCCCCTTATCCACTATGCAACCTTTTCGATCAGATCAGGAGATATTGTTGCTTGATCAGTAGGACTTATCTCCTTCACGTGCATCTCATATGTATAGGTTGATATCATGACTGTGCTTCCCACGATGGACCTGGTCCATGACTGAGTTCATTTGTCATTCTTCAAAACGTCACCTGTTCTTGGCCAACAAATTCCCCCTTTTTAATGATGACAAACTCTGTGTGATTTACTGATTCGAAACCTGTAAGAACTCAGCTTAACCATCAACACTAAACTTAGAAAATTCACTTATCATCAAGGACCAGGTTAGGTTATAAACATCACTTATTTCAGAATATGCAAAGCACAATATCTTTTCCCCCTTTTGGCATCATCAA